CGTGTAGGATGCAATAGTATGGCGCTGAATCCGCAGCTCGGAGGAATTCAGAAGCAATGAGATCAAGCCACAAGCAAAAACCAATATGGGAAGATGGCGGCCAAAAGAGACCTCCTGATTCTCCATTGCATGGTGAAGCTGCAGGCCACGAAGCCACTTCAGACTTGGGAAGGTTATGAGTCAGGTTGTGGCGTCTGACCACAGCGTAGAACTCTTACGACTGCCTAGGAATCATCATGTGTGAGTTGGTAAATAGCATCTCAGTTAAAGTCTTCAAAAAAAGGTGGGGGAAAAAAAAAGAAGAAGCATTCAGCAATTAAAGCTTTATCATGAACGATGATTTACGATACACAACCGATGCAAATAGAAGTCCCTGGAAGTTTGTAGTGTACTAAGTTTCTCCAAATAGGGCATCAACGAAAGTACATAAAATGGTTCCAAACATAAGAAAAGAGGTTAAACCAATGCTTGCAGCATAAGATTGTGGAGGACCAAAAAAGAAGGGATGGCCAATATGATAAGCCTATTATTAGGCGTGTGTATATTAGGAATAAACGGAGGTGAACGTGAGAGTCTATAGTTAGCCGGATTGGTGAATAACAGGGGATTTTTGTTGTAATCAGTTGCAACCAATTAAAGTTAGCAAGTTACTGTCAGTTAGGAGTTAGTTGAGGGGGAAATTACTGTAATTAGTATATAGTGGTTGGAGGAGAATGGGAGTGTTAGGCAAGAATTGAGTATTGGGACTTGTTTGGGAGATTTACTAATGAGTCTCAAATTTCAGTAGCTATTCAATAAATATGCCTTCGTCACAGCTCTTGTTCTTTATATTTCTCTCGTTTTCTTCTATTTCTCCCTTGGGTTCTAACATTTTGGTATCAGAGCAACTCTCTGGTCCTGAAGATGGTTGCGAAGCGGTCAGAAAATCGCGAAGAACCGATGGAGGAGATCGGAGAAGTTAGGGAAAGTTTGACAAAGGGATTGGACGGACTTCGTAAGGAATTTCGCTCTGAATTGAAAGATGCTCGCTTTGAGCATGGCGGAGATACGGCGCTGGTTTGAAGATCAGTGGCGTGGCTCGGCAGCTCGGGCGAGAGATGCGACAGCGCCGATGTCTTCGGATCCTGTTGCGCCGACAGCGAATAAACTTCCTGATGTCGATCTGACAAAACGCGACGAAGGAACGGCACCGATAGCAAATCGACTCTTTGAGGTCGATTTCTCCAATCGCAACGGAGGGAGTGGGTCGCTAGGGGAACAACGTTTGGGGGAGGGGCCTAGGATTTTCGGGGTGGCGACGCGGCGGCTAGGGTTCCCGGTGGTGGAGAGCATGGGTTCAGGGAGGAGGAGGACTGGGTTCTTTCCTGGAGACGGCCACTAGAACGTCCGCATTTTAATGGAGAAGATCTTGATGGCTGGCTTTTTCGAATGGAAAGATTTTCCTCCTTCAATTCCTTTTCTGAATAGGAGAAAATCACCATTGCAGAAATTGCTTTAGAAGGGGATGCGTTGTCCTGGTTTCAATGGGAATATGGTAGGATGAATTCAAGATGAAGTTGCTTTAGCGTTTTTGCTCTTCTCAGGAAGGCAATATTTGTGAAAAATTTATGGCGATTAAACAAGAATCTTAGGTGGTCGAGTCCTGGAAGCAATTCAAGATTTTCGCAGCTCCGTTGAGGGATATTCCGGAGTCAGTCTTGGAAGGGATTTTTGTTAATGGACTCAAAGCTCACGTTAGGGCTGAATTGAGGTTGTTGAAGCCGATGGGGTTGGGCGAAATCATGGAGCTTGCTATCGAAAACAAAAATTTGGCTTTAAGGAAGGAACGAGAGACGGGAGCTGCAAGATTCTCAAGAAATGCCCTAGCTGAGTCTAATTCTGAGTATTTCAGTTCAAAGTGGAGTGTGCCTTTACCAAGATTGGGACTTTCTGTGGAGAAACCGGTTCAGCCGATATGGGATTTTCCATTCAAGAAGTTATCAGAGTTGAAATTGCAAGAGAAGAGAAGGGGTTGTGCTACCGTTGCGATGAGAAGTTTTCAATCGGTCATAGATACAAGAATAGGGAGCTGTGGATTATGCTGTGTAGTGATGAGGAAGATCAGCTTCGGGATGAGGAGGTTGATGAGTTAGAGGAAGAACCAGCTGTCCAAGACCCATCTAATGAGGTAATAGAATTGTCATTAAATTCTATTATGGGAATTTCAGCTCCAAAAACTATGAAAATCAGAGGGGAAATTGCACAAAACGAGGTCTCGGTGTTGATAGACAGCGGGGCTACTAACAATTTTATTGCTAAGAGCTTAGTTGAAAAATTATCGGTTCCTATCTCTTACACCAATTGTTATGGGGTTCAAGTTGGGAGTCGGTCAAAAGCTCCGGTTTGTGTAGATCGCTGGTCTTGAATTTGCAAAATTTGTCAATAATGGACAATTTTCTGCCATTAGAACTTGGGAGTTTGGAGGTGTTTTTGGGAATGCAATGGTTAGAATCTTTGGGAAGTATGCAAGTGGATTGGCGGTATAAAGTGATGAAATTTCGAGTAGGGACGAAGGTGGTCACTTTGAAGGGGGATTCAAGCCTTACGAAGTTGGTGATTTCTCTCAAAACCATGTTGAAGACTATAAAAGGCGAGAAGCAAGGGTCTTTCCTGGAGCTGAGGAATTTAACTGTTGACAGCCATGATGAAGTGGCAAAAGAACCAGCTGATGTTCAAGATATTCTTTATAGGCATGCTTCGGTTTTGAACATGTTCTCAGCACCTTACCCTTTTTATTACTGAATTTTTTTCACACAAATTTTTTTTCTTTTTATTTATAATAAAATCTCAAAAATTTTTCTTTTTTTTTTAATTTACTTATTATCTATTTTTCTAACGTCTTATTTTATTAATCTTTTTTATTATTTTGTTATCTTTCTGTAGATACGATTATTTTTTTGTGTTACAATTAACCGCTTGTAAACATTACTTTTAAGCGTTAATCAAATTTTGACGCCGTCACCGGAGAGGTCCTATTAGCAAGACCGATTAATAGATTTTTGAGCTAAAGAAGTAAGTATACATTTTTTTTTTTTTAATTATTATTTTCTTTGCTATTAAGGTGTGTTAGTTTCTTAGGGTCCGTTTGGTATAAGGATTGAAATCAGGGTAATTTGAGTCTTTTTAATTTGAATCATGATTTAGAGTGATTAGAACCTTCGTTTGTATGTGTATATGCATGATTTTGATTCTAACCTGAAATGTGATTCGAACTAGTGTTTGGTTGTCTTGTTTTCTGAATTTGAATCATGACCAAAATAATGTAATTTAAAAAATTATATAACAAATATAATTCGTTACGTGTAATTTAAAAAAAAATATAATTCGTCATATAATTAAAAAATGAAGTACTAGAAAAAAATTATACAAATAATTATAACTCGAAATTATAACCAGCTAAGTGAGAAATAAATGAAAAAAATGTGAATAAAATTATATAACAAGCCAAGCATATATCAAACTTGTCTCCCACGACTTCCATTATATAACAAGCCAATTACTAGAAAAAAATGATTTGTGTGTATGCCATACAATCAAGACGCAACACGAATCACTCGATCGAAAGATTTCAACTGAATCTTATCATGATTGGAAAAATATTTCAACCCTATTGAACATTCGGTGCCAACTAGTACATTAATTGGTATTTGCCGTTATCCACACCAAATTATTCAAAACTAAACAGCAAGAGGGGAAAAAAGAAAAAGGAAAAGGAAAAGAAATTGTGTGCAAATTAGCACTACAAATGGACAAGTTACATCAAGATCCGGCAAAAAGCCATAAACCATTCCACACAGGTTGGTGGCAACAACAAACAATACCACATTGCTCAGTACCTTGTCATATGTCAAACGACAGTGGTTCTCTGATTAGCAATGCAGTACCTTCTTTTATATATTTGTGTTTCCCCTATATGCACATTTCTGGGTCTACTAGTTGAGATAGTTTGTATCCATACATTTTGAAAATGCTACAAGTCAATTAATCTTGCCATTGCGATCACATTCTAAAACAGATGCTACATTCTTTTCCTGGCTACTGCCGAAGGATGATCCGGCTTCGGTATTTGTGACTTTGTTGGCGTTAGGATTCTGTAAAAGCTGAAGCTGATGTTGTAGGATCTGTAGAATCACAATATGAAAAATAAAGTCGAGTCAAGAACAACAACAATGTGAATATAAAAGATGGACGCCAAAGGGATATAACTAGGAAAATCCATATTCTCTACGTTATGTACTTTACCTTTTGCTGGAAATGGGATATTATGTTCTGGTTTCAAAAACAATTTCATAGTAATGCAGTGGTATATATACTCCCACTATGTAAGATTTCTATTGAGTATGTCCCTTACTTTACTTTGACAGGGAGCAATATTCACTTTGCTCTCTTTGGTATCAAAACATGACCTTTTTGAAACAAAAATTGAATCCAGATGCAATCCAAGTTTAGACACTGACCGACAGTAGAACCATCAAATAAGGAATTTTTTTTTCGTTTGGTTTGACCGGGAACATAACAGAAGAACTAGGGGAATCCAATCTATAGCAAAGTATTAGTACTTCCAATGTTTTACTTCGACAAGGACCTATACCAACTTTGCCATTTTTTCGTTTGGCATCAATAAGTGTCCTTATTGAAAAATATGTTCAAAAAGGAGTATCCAGATGCAATCAAGTTTACACATAGCATCCCAATCCCTGAGAGTAGAACAATCAGATAAGCACTAATATTTGAGGTGCAAGGATGAGTGACAAAATAGAGATAAAAATTAGGTTAAAAAATGATGAAATAAGGAATTAAAATTTAAAAATTCAAAGCAGCCGAAGGGCAATTTAGAAAAGGGAAAAGACTTATCTAGCTAACTATGTTCAATTTCGTTAATGCGCATTAATTCTCAAATTAAAGTCGTGGTGTGGCGGCAATAGTGTTTTTGATAGAGGCACCAACAATAATTATGCTAATTAGTGGCAGTAATAATTATGCTAATGACTTGGTCTAAGGAACTGATCATTCGCATTTGGTTCCTGATTTTTTCAAAAGTTACGAAGTATGTATTATTCTTAATGGTTTGTTTGTTTTCGGTAACAAAAAAAAAAAAAAACCCAGTAGCCACAATCAGGTCCCTAGCTGGCCAAGCATTTTATTGCACAACATTCACCATTTCCATCTCAAACTTAGACAAAGAGGACCATATTACAAACAATGTTACAGCATCAGTTTGCCGTAACATACTCAAGCAGAAATTATCAAATTTCACATACTCAAGCACAAAAAAACCATGTTTAATGAAGCACAAAAAAACTAATGATCTAGATCTTAAAAGAAATAAAACTTATGCAGGAGAAAAGTCCAAGATTTTACTTATCCTACTATCAATGCAGCATTCCCAATAGGAATGGTGTTTCCTACCTCCTGGGGAGCTAAACTCAATAGGGGACCAAAAAAAATGTATGGCGGAAATCAAATAGGAAATATAACACAATTAAGGTAGGGAGAAGAACAAACTCAATCATGAACTCCACTGCAGTATCTTTAAGACTGTCTTCTAGTTGATTCTAAACCAAATATGCAGCTTGTTCTCGGCAATATTATCTTCCACAACCACAGTGATTCAAATATAAAATTACACGGCGATCAATAAACTCATTTCTGAAAATAGCCTTGCAAAGTAGTATTTCCTGGAGAGAACAAATTACAAATCCACATCATCAAGAACATCCACATTATGCATTCCCCAAAACCAAAGTCCAACTATACTCAAACAAAGCAAGAACGTAACAAAACTCACTAGCCAAAAGTTTAATTACCTTCATTAATTCCCAAGAAGAGTTGCTGGTTGGGCTAGAATCAAGAACTGCTTTATATGCGGTTTTTGACATTGCAGTTGCAGCTAACACGCCAACTGGTTCACCAGCAGGGTATAAATTCCAAGCACTTCCTCTGCCATATTCAAATTTCTCTTCATTGATATACACAAGTGTGCAATTTTCTCTATGCAAACAAAGCATATGAAAGGTAGAAACAAAAACATAAAGCAGAAAACGTGGAAGTAAAGAAACTACCCCATTAAGCTTCATCTTCAATCTGCTTATCAAACTTGTCTCCCACGGCTTCCCTGATATTCCACCCACATTTCATTCGCAAGGCGATCCCTAAAACGACGCATCTCTGTATGACTAACACTACCTCCTGTTACAACTGGCCTTTCAGGGACATTACTATCAGTGTCATCGTCATCAAATTCATCATCATTGTTCGGATCTATTTCGCTTACCGGTACACCATCACAGTAGTATTGATTTAGAAGGGGGTCCCCCTCATTAAACATATGAATGAAATTATGCAGTATTGCATAAGCAACATGAATCTTCTCTTGTGTATCCATTGGATACGTATTATTGGGGCTCCTTATGATAGGGAACCTAGCCTTCCAAACCCCGAACGTTCGCTCTATACAATTACGTAGCGACGAGTGTTTGTAGTTAAAAATATCTCTACCTCCCTGAAATCCACTACTTCTCCTTCTACAATCAGGCAAATGGTAAGTCTCACCTCTGTAGGGAGTGAGAAAACAATCAGAATTTGCGTATGCCGCATCAACAAGATAGTATTTTCCTGCGCAACTTATATAAATTAGGATGCAATTTATGCCCCATACTATTAATACCTATAACTACAGATACATTATGAAATATAACCTGGTGGGGGACGTGGGAACTTGAACCTAGGATTGGAGTGCGTTTCCGTTAGCACTCTTGCATTGTGCGCTGAACCTTCCCATCCAGATAGCATGTATGTGATCTTTATATCGAAGGAGCAGACTGCCAATATGTTTTGGGAGTTCACACCCTTCCTATTGCGGTACGCCATAGGATTTGGAACTCCAATTGGTGTACAAGGTATATGAGTTCCGTTAATTGCGCCTACACAATCCTGAACAATAATATTAGATTGTAGATATTAAAAACAAATACAATTGGTGGAGTGACTAACACAAGACCGAGGAAAAAGAGCTAGAGAACTCACGTCAAACCATGTTCCATATCTTTGACGATTCTGACGTAAAAAATTATGCACTCTCTCATAGTTAGGGGGTTTAATAAAATCATCGTGTAGTGTACATATAGCATCGAGGACATCACCAAACCGCCGTGAAATTGTCTCCCCAGAATGTTGCCATATGTCTTGAGCTTCATGGTTAGTTTGACTTTGGCAAGCGATTGTTAAAAACACAAATAATTGTTCTTGTACATTCATGTTGTACAAGGGAGTATGTTACAGAGAATCATAAATGCATGTGGTCTCATACGCACTTTGTTAAACATAGCAGCTTCATTATTGTTTGATAACAACTCATTTACCTTATCGATGCCCCTCAGAGAAGAAATGTGCACAGGCCTTGGTACTGTGTCACTATCCAAAAACTCGGCACTGGCTACTGTAGTTGCGATTGCAGCCGTAAAGCACCGTCGTCGTCTAGAATCTGCCCTTCTCTGGTGGTCGTCATTTGCATGTCCGGATCCTTCTCCCTGCATCTTGAAGCTTCACGGTTTAACCTGTACACAACATTTGCATGTCATTTGCGTGGAGTGCATATCCCAAGTCTGTTGCAAACGTTCATACAAACAAATTCAGTAATGCCATCGAAAGAATCAATAACCATACAACTCAGTAATTCAAAGTTTTTAGAACAACCATATCCAAATACAAACAGAGTGAGGGCACAAAACTAAATTCTCTTCAAGCAGAACCAAACACATTAAGAACGGTTAGTTTGACTACAAAGAATTCTTGCTATATTCATAGAAATAAAGGGGAAAGTGCCATATATTGCATAAACATAAATCCGGGGTACAAAATCATACTCAAATTAAAACAATAGTACAGTCTAGGAACGAAAGTAGAGTAACGAAATCACACAAATGAAGACTACCAAATTAATAGAAACTCAAATTCGCGGGTTTACAACTCGACCTATCACAACACATACTTAACACACAAATGAAGACTCTACAAGTGACAATGCTTCCTAAGGAGTCGGTGGACGGCTATATGGGTTAGGTAGCTGCGTGAAGGCGCTCGGGGGCTGTACAAAGGAGGGAGGTTGCTGGTTGTAGGGGTTTGGTGGATGTTGGAAGGAGCTTGGGGCCTGTCCAAAGGGGGTTGGTTGCTGGCTATAAGGATTAGGTACTTGCGAGAAGTTTTGAGGTGGCTGACTATAACGATTAGGAACAAAAGGGGTTTGGGGCAGTTGAACAAAGTCATCTAAGAAGGCTCTCCTCGACGAATCATCAAGCTCTACCCAAAGTGGACGCCATGTGTCGTCCTTAGCTATTTTCTCAATCGCATGGACACGTGTACGCGGATTAATTCCCATTTCGACCAGCGACTCTAGTATCAGACTCACTTCACTTGGTCCAGACGGTGTTGTTACTTGGGAGGGTCTTTTTGCTTGCTCAAATATCTTCCCGTAAATCATTGCGCATGTCCTTCACCGCTTCAAGCATCTCCTCTCGCGTACTGTCATTGGATTTGCGTGACCTTGTCGACCTCTTTCGAATGGTACATGAAGACGAGGCGATGTTGGTCGCATTTTCCATTCGTTGGCGTTCCATGCGGCGGCCAAACTCCACTCGAATGTCATCATCATCGATGTCTTGGTACGGAGAGTTTTTCTCATTTTGTGGTTCCTCAATCCCAGCTCAAACGTCATTCGAGGGCACACCGTCCACATGCTCTTGTTCCATGGAGGGGTGGAATAATCTTGCACCAGTAGTGACAACTCGACTGGGGAAAATGGCAGCCAAGTGCATGTCGTTCAGCTTCCAACCGTTACTGAAAATTGTGTTTACTTCACGGTTTCTCTAGCAAAATTTTAAACAAAATTATAAGTTATTTGCACTTATTACATAAAATGTACACTACCATATTTTTGAATGAAGGACCACTAATGAATCACACATTATACCTTAGAAAGATCTTTCCGCAGATCCTCTGAGCATGTGAAAGTTTTATTAATAGAATCCCACCCAACTCCAGTATGGGTTTGCAACATTTTGAATGCTGCGTAGACCTTACTAAGTCGGCGGCGTTTCTCCTTAAGGCGCTCACCGGCTGGTAGATAGCCATAAAAAAAAGTAGCCATCTGAATAGCCCATTGGTTGTAGTCACAAGATTCCGGTTGCTTTCCGTTGTTGGCACAATGGTACTCGTAGAGACACTCAAGTAGGAACACCTCTGAATCCGCGCTCCAATACAACGGCCTCTCATCCGCGTTTTTCCTAGGCATCTACAAACGCATATGACAACCAAAAGAAATATCTTATGCATCGAGTTTATGTGTGTCTTTTGGAGCTTTAACCATATGGTCTATCTACATAATAATAGGGATTGAAAAATGCCCTAAGAATTACTAGCTCAAGTTGCTAATAAACACTCAATGGCCACTCCAATCCTAGATTAAAAATGCAAATTTTTCAATTGTTTGAGGTTGCTGAATTGGATTCCCAGCCTCTATTGTTTCCTGTAGAATTGTCTATTTAGTTGGATGAAATCCTACTTGAGGCTAGTCTTTCAACTTAGTCAAAAAAGAAATTTAAAAAATAAAAAAAGAGAAGAAAGAGGGTATCAACTAAAAACATACCCTATTAAATTTTAGAGTCTAAAATCAACTATCTTTCATCTCTCTCACTCTATCTTCACCTATTCCCACAACTCCCTCAACCCCTTACAAGAAAACCACCGTCCACACCTCCAAACTTGAAATTTCCCCATCTTTTCTCTTCCTAATCCATAGAGGAAGAAACCCTTGCTTTTCTCCTTGTCTTCAAGTTAAAATACATATAGGACTTAAGTCTTATTTGTTGCACTGACCATCAAATTCAACACTATTTTTTTATCATTTCCTATTTCATTACCTTACACATTTCAAAATACTATCTTCTATGCGTTTTTTCCATCCCGACTTGGCCACAACTGCTTGCAAGAAAACCCATAAATGCTAGCCAACTACACGAGAAGGAACCACTTCTATATGACTATAAGTACACTACAATCCCTCTCAAATTTTTCTACCCACTAAAACTCTCAGCCCTTTTATATATAAATTAATAAGTAGTGAAAAAGTTTCTCTTCTATCTCATCATCATCATCATCTCACTAGCCATGGAAAAATCAAACGTGAAAATCACTAAAAAAACACATATCAAACCCAACAAGGAAATAGGGAGAAATGAGTGTCAGCTAGTGACATTTGATCTGCCATATTTGGCATTTTACTACAACCAAAAGCTCGTGTTTTACAAGGGGAGTGACTTTGAGGGCATGGTGGCGAAATTGAAAGATGGGCTTGGTGTCGTTTTGGTTGATTTCTATCAGCTAGCGGGGAAGCTTGGGAAAGATGAGGAAGGTGTGTTTAGGGTGGAATACGACAATGAAATGGAAGGTGTGGAAGTCGTTGTGTTACAGTTACTCTACTGGCATAGCAAACTCAGGATTAAAGAAACATACCATTTCCCGTTAATATTTGCTAATGCTAATGGAGTTTCTGCTTCAATTTCAAATCAAATTGCTTACTAACATTAGTTGCATACAAGGCAAACTGGTTTAAGCGTACTAACATTAGTTGCTTACTAACATTAGTTGCTTACAAACGTGTCAGGGGAACAAACGTTGGACACAAAAGGCTTTGACTGTGTTTTTTTTTTTTTTTGTGTAAATCAATTACCTATGTGAAGAATGGAAAGTGAGACATGATGCTACAACAGAAGATGCAACCGTGTTCTATATTCTACAAATCCCATTTCCACAAAATGCCCTAAATTCTACTGACAACAACCATTCAAGAACACAAACAATCATTGACAGAAACCCTAATCCCCAAACAGGCAAATCAACCGGAGTCTATGTGAGGATCACTTACCGGTAAATTGGTCGAATCTGAGGAGGAGATTAACGTCACTGCCGGCAAAACACCAAACGCGGATGAAGGTTTTTTGTATTTTTCCGATGAGCATCTTGTTCCTCTCCGGCGAAGGCGTGAAGTGGGCAACCTTTCGTAGAATCGATGAAATTGATACCGAATGTGAAGCCTCAGTCGTTTGTTCACGAGCAGAGCTTTACGCGAAGCATTTCTCATTAACTCAGAGAGGTGAAGATCAACTGGGTTGTTTACACGGTTATTGCCCGAAGAAATAAGGGAAGAGAGGAGTTAATAATTGAAGAAAGAAGAAGCAGAGAATCTCTACCAAGACACGACCGGAGGAGTGAAAAATTGGAAGAAGGAGAAAGCAGAGTGTCTCTGCCAAGACACGACACAACATTGGAAGAAATGAGGGAAGATGAAGAAGGAGAACCAAGAAAGAGCAGAGAATCTCTGCCAAGACCGAAGGCTGGAAGGATCTCTGGCAGAGAACGTGCTCTTTGGCATATGGTTGGGTGTTGCGGTGAGAAAAACTCCACGAAGCACAGTAATAGTACTGTGCAAAGATTGAAATTTTGGGCTGAATCAGGGGGGGCCTGATTCTGAATTAGGACCCCAAAAATTACCCGTAACTCAAGTCTCTGACCCTAATCCATGCGACACCAAACACGAGGTTGAGCACATGACTCTAATTTTTTGATCAGGATCTCCCAACCAAACGGGGCCTTATTTTTAGTTATTAGTCTTTGTCTAATCTTTAGTTCACGTTCTATAGTAGATTAATAGTTTAATTTGTTTTAACCTTTTTGCTTCATTTTTTTTTCTTGTCGTTTCTTATTTCAAAAAAAAAAAAAATCAATTTCGTTATATTTGCTTTTAGGTGTTTGGTCAGTTTTTTCTTTATGTTTTTTTTTTTTTTTTTTTTGCCAACTATCGTAGGTATTAGTTTTTTTTATTATTATTTTGTTTCTTTATTTCTCATTTAATTGTTTAGCATTTTATTACCATTTTATTTAATAGCATAGTGTGAGATTTTCCTTTTCAGTTATTTAAAATTGATTGTGGTTTAATTTTGTAATCTTTCATTTTTGATAAATTAGGATTTTATTTTATTTCCCCATTTGTATATTTTAATTATTGACTATTATATTGTTGTCTAATTTAATTTTTCCTTTTAAGTCTTTATTAATTTTTAGGATTGTGATTAGGTTGTAATTAGTTGAGTAATTTAGATTCCTAATCTAAGAATTTCATAATTTGGTAGATTTAGGATTTTGACTTTAGGAATAGTTTCTATTAATTAGATTTCATTTCATAATTTATTCAATAAATTTAATAATTGTGTGGTTACGTGAAAAGTACAATTGAAGGGGTTCTGTCTAGAAAAGTTGGTACTTAAGTGGGCATCGCCCCACCAATGTTTCCTGAGAATGTGGCTCTGTCTAGGAAGCTATTCATTGAGCCAAGAACTATAGTTTTTCCTGGGAGCACTCTCGGTGGTTATAATTTACGTTACTATATAATTATTTTCTTTTGTTTCGATTAAAAATAAAAAAAACAAAAAAAATTAAAAAAATTAAAAATTAAAAAAGGGTCGCTTAAGGTAAATGCATCAGTATAGAGATGAGCTAGGGAGATTTGCTCAACGTCCAGACTTAGAAACCCCTAGTGAAATTCTATCCGACTCATCTTCTACGCCTCCGTCTTCACACTCGTCGTTGGAATTCGTACTTCAAAATCTATTTGCAATGGCACAACACGAGGAAGTTCAGCAGAGGACGTTGCAAGATTACCTGCACCCAACACGAATGGCGACACCATAAGACCAACAATTTGAAACGACAGATCTCGAATTTCACTCACAAGGAAAATGAAACTCTCTATTAAGCTTGGGAGCGTTTTAAAGATATGTTAAATCTGTGTCCCCACCATGGATATGAAAGTTGGCGCCTCGTAAACTATTTTTACGATGGACTCACAATCTGAGAGCATCAATTTGTCGAGATGATGTGCAATATGGATTTTCTCCAAAAGGATCTTGATGAAGCTATCGAGTACCTGAATGAGTTACTTTTGAGTGTTATTAAGAGCACCAGTAGGTCCTGACCGGTTGGAGTTTATCAATTAAGCGAATATGACAGCCGGACAAATGCACATGAGCCTTGTTTCGTTTGTGGTGGAATGGACCATCTTGCTCAACATTGTCTCTCTTTTAGTAAAATGAGGGGGGTATACGAGGAGCAGTGCTATGCATTAGGCACATACAAGAAGCCTTATGGACCATTCTCAGAAACTTACAATCATAGTTGGAAAAGTCACCCAAACTTCAGTTGGAGATATCTAAACCAACATGCATAATCATCTGGAGGGCAATAGAGATCAGAGCAACAATCTCAACCACCAAGGACATATTTTGCGCCTTAGAATAACATGCAGCCGAAAGGAAATTCTCTAGATGATACCCTAAAAGCTTTTATGGATGTGTAAAATAAAACGAATCAAAGGGTTGATTCGAAGGAAAGAAAAAATCATATCACAAAGCTGACAGAAGCTTTAACCGTTCAGGAGCGCGGTAGATTTCCATCACAAGCCCAATCCAATTTGATAGGACAACACATGGCTCAAACTTCCAACTCTGAAGGTCAAAATATCAAGGAAGTTAGCGCCATCTCTACTCGAAGTGGTAAGAATTTAGACATGCCATCGACAAGTACAACCACTTCACGTAATGAAGAATCGGCTCAGGAGAAAAAAGAGCTAACAAAAATTCTAGTAAAGGTGCCTTTCCCCTAAGCTCTCTAACATGCTGGGAAAGTGCCGGAAATCAAAGTGAGATTCTAGAGCACTTGACACAATTAAAGATCAATCTTCCCTTACTGCATGTGATCAAGCAAGTGCCGGCCTATGCCAAGATTATCAAGGATCTGTGCACCATAAAGAGAAAGCACCATGTCAAGAAAACTGCATTCTTGACGGAACAAGTGAGCGTAGTGATTGAGCAAAAGACACCGTTGAACTATAAAGATCCTGGTTGTCCCACTATTTCCTGCACGATTGGGACACACAAATTCGGCCAAGCATTGCTGGATCTTGGAGCTAGTGTAAACCTCATGCCGTATTTAGTTTACTCGCAACTTTGTCTTGGAGAGATTAAGCAGACACCTGTAGTATTGCAATTGGCCGATCGATGCATCAAGAAACCACATAGAATAGTTGAAGACGTGTTATTGCAAGTTGATAAGTTCTACTATCTCGTGGATTTCATTGTTTTGGACACTCAGTCAGTGGTTGATGTAGAGTTAAAAATCCCAATCATCATTGGAAGACCATTCCTTGCGACAACAAATGCCCTAATTAACTGTAGAAATGGTCTAATGAAGATCTCTTTTGGGAACATGACTCTTGAGGTAAATGTTTTTAACATTGTAAAACAACCACAAGGTGACGACGAGTGTCACCAAACATTCATGATCGACACACTTGTCGATGAGGCAGCTACAAAGCAACTCTGAAGATCTTGAAAACCTCCTCCAAAATTCTAATTCTGAAAATTCTGGTTCTGTTGAGTTGGCTCACTTGTCTGCAATTTTCAACAACTCACAGGATAGAGGAATTAAGTTGAAGCAACTATGTTTCGAGGAACTTCCGCAAGGGAGAGAGAAGCCAAAGCCTTCCATCGAGGAGACCCCTACAGTCAAACTTGCTCAACTACCTGAAGGATTGAAGCATGCATTTTTAGGAGTAGGCGATACCTTTCCTGTTATCATTTCTTCCAAACTCGATGTGTCACAAGAATAGCGGTTAATCACCATGTTGCGAAAGCATAAATCTGCATTGGGTTGGATGATTGTTGACATTAAAGGAATTAGTCCTTTGATTTGCTCCCATCATATTCATTTAGAAGAAGGAGCTAACCCCCGAAGAGATCCTCAAAGAAGATTGAATCCAATAATGAAGGAAGTGGTGAAGAATGAGGTTCTCAAGCTATAGGTGCTGGGATCATTTACCCAGTCACCGATAGCAAATGGGTTAGCCGAGTTCAGGTAGTGCTAAAGAAATCAGGGGTTACTGTGGTGGAAAATAAAAAATGGGCTCTAGTTCCCACAAAGGTCGTGACTGGTTGGCGCATGTGTATTGATTATCACAAGCTTAACGCCACCACTCGCAAAGACCATTTCCCACTTCCATGCATCGATCAAATCTTAAAACGTGTGACAGGTCATCCTTTCTATTGCTTTCTCGATGGTTATTCAGGGTATTATCAGATAGAGATAGTATTATAAGATCAGAACAATACCACATTCACATGTCCTTTTGGTACCTATGCCTTCCGGCGAATGCCATTCGGACTGTGTAATGCACCTGCCACATTTCAGAGGTGTATGATGAGCATCTTCAGCGACATGGTCAAGAAATGTATGGAAGTGTTCATGGATGATTTGACAGTCTTCAAAAATTCATTCGACACGTGCATTCTCAACTTGGAAACGTTTCTGTAAAGATGTGAAGAGGTCTCGTGCTCAATTGGGAGAAGTGTCATTTCATGGTGTCATCCAGCATAGTTCTTGGGCATATTGTTTCTAAAAGAGGAATCGAGGTCGACCGTTCCAAGGTTGAACTCATTTCTAACTTGCCAACCCCCAAGGCCGTTAAGGATGTTTGATCTTTTCTGGGGCACGCCGGATTCTACAGGAGGTTCATTTATAACTTTTCATCTATAGCGATATCGCTAAGCAACCTCCTAGCAAAACATGTTGTGTTCAACTAGGCATAAGAGTGTGAGGATGCATTCTGAACACTCATTGCAAAACTAAGTTCCGCCCGTATTATGTAGTCACCAGATTGGAGCTTACCTTTCGAGATCATGTGTGACACAAGTAACTACGCTGTGGGGACCGTTCTTGGTCAACGGAGGCAGGGGAAGCCTTTCGTTGTCTACTACGTAGGCCGTACTCTAAATAGTGCTCAGATGAACTACTCAACTACTGAAAAAGAGTTGCTTGCTATAGTAATTACTATCGACAAGTTCTGTGCATATTTGATTGGTTCACCTATCACCATCTTCACAGATCATGCTGCCCTTAAGTACCTTCTCTCTAAAAAGGATGCTAAGGCACATTTAATTAGGTGGATCCTTCTTCTGCAGGAATTTGACTTGGCAATCAAGGACAAGAAGGGGGTCAAAAATGTGGTGACAGACCACTTATCTTGTCTTAAGTTTAATGATTCCACCGAAAGTCCTGCTATTGGAGATGACTTCCCCGATGAACATCTCTTCACCGTCACTAAGATGCCATGGTATGCTCACATTGTTAACTACTTGGTGGCAAGCGAGATTCCATCTACCTAGGGTGCACAAGACATGAGGAAGTTTTTAGTCGAGTTTCGTAACTTCTATTGGGATGACTCCTACCTTTTTAAGTACTATCCAGACCAGATCATGAGACGATGCATCCCGGATGATGAAGTGTTTAGTGTCCTGAACTTTTGCCACAATGATGCATGTGGCGGTCATTTTTCTGTGGAGAAGACCGCTGCGAAGATCTTGCAGTATGGTCTCTATTGGCCCACTTTGTTCAAGGACGCCAATGACTTCTGTCATTCTTGTGAGAGGTGCCAAAAGCTAGGTGCTTTGTCCCGTCGCCATATGATGCCCTTGAACCCGATTCTCGTAATAGAAATATTCGATTGCGGGGGGGTAGACTTTATGTGACCATTTCCACCTTCTTATGGATTCCTCTACATACTCCTCGCTGTGGATTACGTGTCTAAGTGGGTAGAAGCGGTAGCGTGCCGAAACAACGATAACACCACTGTTGTAAAGTTCTTAAAGGAAAATGTGTTATCTCGATTCAGAACGCCGCGTGCCATCATCAGTGATCAAGACACCCATTTCTGCATCCGTTCTTTTGAGGCTCTGATGCGCAAATACGGTGTGGTTCATAAAGTTTTGACTGCCTATCACCCACAGAAAAATGGCCAAGCTGAGTTGGCCAATAGGGAAATTAAGCAAATTCTGGAAAAGATGATTAATCCCGATCGCAAAGATTGATCTCTGCGCCTTCCAGGCATACTTTGGGCATACCGCACTGCTTATAAAACCCAACTTGGGATGTCTCCTTACCGGCTTATTTTTAGAAAAGCCTATCATCTACCAGTAGAGCTTGAACATAAGGCTTATTGGGCTACCAAAGCCCTCAACTTTGATCTCAGCGCTGCAGGTATCAATCAGAAACTCCAGCTTTCTGAAATCGATGAGTTAAGGAACAATGCTTATGACAATTCCAGGATCTACAAGGCAAAAATGAAAGCGGCTCATGACAAGCAGATCCTGAGGAAGAACTTCGAGCTGAATCAACGGGTTCATCTCTATGATTCCCGTTTGCATCTCCACCCCGGTAAGTTGAGGTCGCGGTGGACTGACCCGTTCGTAGTGAAACAAATTTTTCCCAAGGGTGCTATCGAGGTTGAGGACCTGAACGATGGGAGAATCTTCAAAGTAAATGGCCAGCGTCTGAAGAATTACCTAGAGCGGGTGAACCAGGTAGAAGAGATCATTCTCGACGATCCCGTTTACCAGCTTTGAGTAGTTTGCTCACATATCACGTACCATATTTTCATTTTATGTTTTCTTTGCTTCTTTTTACATTTTTTGTGTATTTTTTAGAGAATCATATCAGGAAGCTCAAGCTGTGCTCATATGTGGAATGCTCATTGTCCAGGTGTCTTCTTTCTATATATTTCTATAATTTTTGACACTGTCTGATTTTGGTTGAGGGTGGTGAGCATATTCATGTGTAAGAGTGATTTTTGTCATGTTGATATTTGGGTTAAAATTTTTGTGAAGATATCTGAGTATGATTTCAAAATGTTTGGTTTGAGTCGATTTTCGCTGTCTTGGTTACTAAGAAATGACTTTCAGAGTTTCTTTTTGCACATGCTAAACCTTGTGGTAAGATGGATGTTAATGCATGTCAGTTGAGAAAATTCTCGAGTTTAAGTGTTTGATTTTTGGTGAGTTAAGAGAGTAGAGAAAATGACTTTTGAACGTTCATTGATCTTTTGAGTTAGTAAAATCACTGTTAGAACATCATTACATGGTTAGTGGTATGCTTGGTGCATATGCCTAAGGGATGGATTTTGGGTTAGATAGGAATGATCTTATGTAATAGAGCATCATTTCTTATCTTTCATAAAAATTAAAACAAAAAAAAACTAAGCAAGAGCAACATTTCACAGACCTTGTAGTTTGGTTGTAATAACATTTGATACTATATAACTGTTTGTCAAAAAAACACATTTCTACATTCACTTCATTATTGCAGGTTGTCTCTTGCCAAAAAGAAAAAAGAAAAAAGAAAAAAAAATGAGTAATTTATTTTTCTATGCATTTTTTTTTTTGCTCTTTGTTCGTTTCTGTAAATTTCTGTTTGACCTGAATAAAATCCCAAAAGCTAGTTTGTGGTAAGAATGGTGGAATGTTCTAGTAGTTGATTAACCTATCTTTTGGTCAATGTTCGTTTTACTGTTTGTCTTAAATTTTACCCTCCTCACATTGAGTGATGATTGTCCCATTTCCAACTCCATGAGAGAGAACCTTTGCACTTAAATATTTCGAACACCTGTGAGATCAATGGAGTTGAGACTTCTACTTGGTGAATTTTTCAAAGCTGCATGTGTTATGGTCAGTGGTAAGAAGGTTATGGTTTGGACCACACACTCACGACTCTGGAGTTATGACTGAAATAATCTTGACAGTATCTTGACTTTTTACTGACACTTTGTTTGAAAGACTCAGGTGACTAAGCGAGTTGAGACTCAGATTTTCTTTGTGACATAATTTCTCTTGCGCTTGGATTGCTGGGGACTAGCAATAAGCTGGTTGGGGGTTGTGATTAGTGCATGAAAATGAACCCTAAATACTGCTTTTGATTTTTATAATATTAAAATATTTAAGCTTTAATTAAACAATTCCATTATTTTTATTCAGAATATTTTTCAATGGAATTTTTCTAGTTGTTACTTAATTATTTACAGATAAAAAGCAGTGTAAAACGCTACACAAAAATAAGCCATGAAAGCCATATTTTTAACCACCCTGAGCCAAGCCTTTCAATCCAGCCTCACAAGCCAAAAAGAGAGAAGAGCCGCATCAGCTGTTTCAGCCACCGAGCCAAGCCACGCACAGGTCCCAGTTTGTGATAGCCTATCCGCAGCACTTCCAACGCGCGTCACTTCACGGGAGTTCCTCAGCGCGCGCGTTTCTTCCACGCAGCCATCACCACGCGTCCCAGCTTTTCACCGCATGGGTCCCTAGTGTCAGCTTGCAGCCTGCGCGTCTTTTCCGTGCGTGACATCTGGCTTCCGTGGGTCCCACACCTGCGATGCCAGACTGCTTCTCTCTTCCGCGCGCGACATCTGTGCCCCAGCTGTCCCCCACTTTGCCCGAGCCAACACACTCCAACCAATCCGCATGCGACACGTGGCACGTTTTCTCCTCACTGCCAATCACGTTGCGACATGTCCAATGAGTGCTGAGTCTAAATTTCTCCTTCAAAATCAGAGCAAATTAGCCAGATTTCTTCCCCAAATCATATATATGATTTCTCCTAATTTATGTGTAATTTTATTTTGTTTCTTTTTCTTTTGTAATTTTCTATTTTTATTATTTGTTTCCTTATTTGACAGGCAACCTCTAGACACTATAAATAAGAGGGTTAGCCTAAGGTTTTTGGAAGCTTAGAATATTCAGTTTTCTGTCGTCTTACTGTCAGTCTCATATTTTCTCTCTAGAACTT